CATGGTCATGTGTTTGCCTCCCCACGCTGTGGTGCCCAGTCTTTGGATAGGCTGGTGGAGCATCCCCTGCAGAAGACATGACGCCTGGGCACTTCACTGACTGTGCCATCAGAAGGTGGGAAGGCTCGCCATCAGGAACAGTACAGGGACTGGGTCTAGTGGGTGCAGACCAGCTGCTTTCTGTCACTAGGATAGTTTCTGACTGCTCTGCCTATATCCTGTTTTGTTAAATGAGGTCATCATACAGTGCTTGGGTGGTTTATTCATTTTTCTAAAGAAAGTGCTGTCAGCTGTGACTTTAGGATAGCTGAAAGCTCAGGGCTGTCTTGAATCACCTGCCTCACAGGTGGCCTTGGGATTCTGTGGACTGAACTGGCCTGGACTTTAGGTTGGCATAGCCATTAAGTGAGAAGAATTTGAGGCCCTCTGCAGCAGGGCTGTGGCCTTCTTTTTTTCTCTGACTTTGACCCTGATCCTGACCACTGTGAGGATGGTGAACCCTACTGCACAGAACAACTCAGTGGAACTTCAGAGCCAGACTTGCACCCCCAGCTAGTGAATAGAGGAGCCCTAGGACCTGCTGACCCTGTAGACTTTGGGCTCTGTTGAGAAGTGGGTGCTCTATCAATGGCTACCATTATTCATGGTTATCATTTCTTTGAGGCAGCTTAGATGGTCATCTATGTTATCTTGGGTGTGTAGCTCCTGTGAGATTCTGAAGTATCCTAGGTTTTAGTTTGGTCCCAGTTGTGTACAATCTGGAATTCCCGAGAGGCTCCTGGGTTCAGTGGCTGGTTATCTGTCCCATGGTTCCAACCATCTGATCTGGCTACTTTTCAGGTCTCACTGTATGTTTGGAACCTGCCAGGGTCTGGACTCTGGGCAGAAGAGGTCCACGTGATGCACTGGATGAGGAGAAGACAAGGATCTAGGTTTGGAACAGAGCACCAGGATTCAGGCCCATCTGTCTGGGCTCATGTAAACTGGGGTCTTTGGTCTCTGGTGGAAATGTGTGTGTGGGAGAGTGGGGGAATGACACATGGGTGAATGTGACAGGGTCCTGGGGAGCCAGCCTGGGGGGCTGATTTCTCTGTTCATTTCTTCTCTGACATCTGTCAACCCTGCCCAGCATCTGGCATCTGAAGGTGCCTACACACACTGGTCAGATGAGATGACTGAGGCAGAGATTGACAGCTGGGTCCTGTCCCCTCAGTGGGAGTCTGAGGTCTGGGATGGGAGTAGGGGAGACCACAGAGAGATGCAGGGGACAGAAGATGCCTGGCAATGCTGAGACCAGGAGAGGGCAAAGGGCAGACTCAACATGTCCAGGTGGGACATCCTGGGTGGCTGCAGTGGCTGCCAGGGGTCAGGCTCGCCTGTGCAGTTGAAGGCTAGAAGGCTCAGGATTTGAGTCCTAGTACTGTTTGAGTCCTCACGTGTTCCAGAAGCATGGTCCCTGGGAGTGGCACCCAGCTGCCTGCCCCCCAGTGACCTTTGCTGGCTTAATGACAGCCAAGATGGAACTCAGTGACCTCAGCCATGATGCTAGTGTCCATCTGCCCACTGGCCCCTGGAAGAAACTGTAGCTGTCTCGTCTCAGTGGAGTGACAGCCCAGGCAGAGTTGGTGGCTTCCCATATGGGCAGCTTCACTCTCTTCCCTTCACATAATTCTCCGTTCTTTTGCATTGCTTTGTATAAGCAACTGGAGGCGGTCTCCAGGGCTCCAGTCCAGAAGTACTGACTATGGTTAGAAGAGCAAGGCTCTGACTTACACCATTCCCCACTTACTGTTCTAGCACTGCTTTCTGCCATCCCGAGAATCACTGATCAGTGCATGGGTAGCGTTATACAATCAGAACACCGCTTGCTTATACAGTGCAGTAAGCACTTTTTAAAGGACGTCAAGTTTACCTAATACTCCATGTTCCTCGTATAGTTTTTCTAAGGCACCATTTGGGACAGAGTAAGTTTTTTTTTTTTTTTTTTAATAATAAAAGTGTTTTTTTCTTAGCAAAATCATTTGTTATGTTTTATTGTTGGTTATAATTTCTTCTTATTTTTGGTATTACTATTTGTAGTTGAGTCTCTCTTCTTTCCATACCTACTAGTCTTTTAAAACAATTTCTGTATCTTTTGTGAAGTAGGTAGGTGAGGGTGGTTTTGGCAGGCGAGGTTTGCCAAGCTGGTACCACCCCCCCAGGTGCTGGTAGATGTGTGTGGGGAGGGCTGCCTGAGCGGAGAACCCTGCAGCCAGCTCCTCCGTCTCAAGTCCTCAGAGGGGAGAACAGGTGCCATGTGGTGGAAACCGAGGCTTGCTCCTAACACCTCTGCTTCCAGGGCACAGCCCAGGCCCCGTGACCAGCTTAGAGCTGGCTCCTACTCGGAAGACGGCTTCCCTCTATGGAAACATCTCCATTTATAAACTCCTTTATGGACTTTGGATGCAGGCAGGGCTAGTGCTAGTTACAGGTTGAACCTGAATGACATGGCCCAAGGGACTACACCCACCGACCCTCTGGCCATCTCTTCCAGCTAACCTACTGCCTGGGATTTCTGCTTAGTCTTTTATGCTGATCCCACCCCAGCCATAGGTTGCCTGAGAGTCCTAGAGAAAGAGACTTGTAATTTGGGGTGTTACTGAAGGCAGAAAGCACAAGGCCTGCCGATGGGTAGTGATCACTGGAGGTGTGTGATCTAGCTGGGGACTGGACAGGATGGGTGCCCTTTGGGGTTCCTCCAGGCGTCAAAGGCTGAGATCCCACTGTGGGTTCTGCATGTTTCTGAGATCTGGACCTCTGCCTGGAACATTGGATCATTTATTCTTTCCACAAACAAGTGGGGCGCTCTTGGTGCTTGTGTGGGAGGTGGGGTAGAGCCAAAGGCTCCATCCTCTCCAAGTTAGGATACCTTCCCTAACTTGGGGCTGGGACTTGCTGTTCTGAAGGGCATGTGGCCCAGGAGAGAGGAGACAGGACAGGGAAGGGGAAGGGCAAAGCACCCGGTCTCCTTTGGAGCTTTGGGGCAGGGGCATGAGGGCCAGGGGTGATGTCCCTGGGGAGAGGTATGGGCCTGGCACTCTGGCTCCCCCTGACCCTAGCAGGCTCTGGCAGGGCTCCAGGAACCACTTCGCCTGTGGTATAAATAGATTTCTCTGAAAGGCTGGGGCTGCGCCAGCTGCAGCAGGTGCCCCCAAGCTCGGCCAGAGGGCCTAGGTGAGGGAGTGGGCCCAAAGTGGGGGCAGGCACGTGGACAATGTGTACAACCCCCACAGCATGGTGGCACTGGGTCTTGGTCCCAGGTCCTGGAACTTCCCAGCTCCCAGAGCTTGCTGAGATCTCTTACTAAAGGACCCCTTTTATGGGTGAGAAAACTGAGGCTGGGTGGCAAAGGGGCTAGGGTGGGGCTCAGAAGATCCATCTCCAGCTATGGTTCCCCTGTTCTTTTCTGGGTGACATGGATAGACTGTTAGTTTCTTTGAGCTGCTGTGATTTCCTTCCTGTCTGCCTGCCTTTTCTTCTTCCCTTCTTCCCTCCTCTCTCTCTCTCTATCTCTGTCTGATGGTACTTTGTGGAGCTCGATGCCTCTCTCTCTCTCTGATGGTACTTTGTGGAACTGGATGAGCTACATCCTTAGCCCTTTTTAATTAAGTTTTATTTTGAGACCGGGTCTCACTCATTCACTAAGTTGCCCAGGCTGGGCTTGAACTTGGTGATCCTCCTTCCTCAGCATTCCAGAGTACTGCAACTATAAGCATGCACCATTAGGTCCAGCTCTGCATTTTATCAGCACAGTGTGACTGAGGTTGGTGTCTGGTTGCTGGGGCAGCCGCCTGCCTGCACCATGTCCCACCAGGGTGCTCCAGGTGGAGAGTGGAGGGGTAGTGCGTGCCAGCACTGATCCATCCACTTTTCGGCCTCAGGGAGGAGAAGCTGCTATAAGAGGGAAGAGCCACAGCCTGCCTCAGTGCTGACTCTGCCAGGATAGGGCCTTGCTAGGAGCACATTTAGGAGTTCCAGAGCCCTGGCTTGGAGACGTGAAGCCCTGTGAGTCCTCTGGGCACAGTCGCTGGGTGTGGCAGGAGGCAAGGGAAGACCACATGGCTGTGCCAGGCTGGGCTAACCAGGGTGCTCTCTCGGGGAGAGTGGGGGGGGGCACATTCTCTGCTGGGCCCCTGGCTAGCTTTCCTGGTTCACCCCCTCCCTGTGCTGACCGCTGATTGCAGGGGCCAGGCTGTCTGATTGAGAGCTGGGCTCAGAGCTAAGTTCCCAGGAAGGCGAGGCCTCAGGGGACCCAGTAAACAAGGAGCTCTGAGTCCTGGGCACCCCACTCAGGGCCTCTGGGCCGGAGCAGGTGTGGAGGTGATAGTCACACCAGGTCTTACTGGAGCTCCCCTTCTGGGGAGCATGTCAGTTCTTGGACCTGAGTTCTGGAAACACTGCTGGGAGCACTGCTGGTGGGGGATATCAGGAACCAGGAGAGGGTCGTTTGGGGAGGGTGTCCTGAAAGGCTTCGTGGGATGGGGCAGTGCGTGTGGATAGGTGTGGTGGCAGATCCTGAGAGGACTCCTGCAACCTAAAGTGTTTCTAGAGCCAGTGCCTCAGTTTCCCCAGTCGTCTGCTGATGGGATGAGAGCAACCACCCATAGGGGTGTCGTGAGGGTCAGAGGAAGAGACAGCGTGTGCCACTGGGAAACGAAGGCATTCTTGCTGATGGGCTGATGAAGGGGTCAGGGGACTGCGGGGCTGGGCGACCCCGTGCTCGCTGGGCTGCCTGGACTCTTGCCGCCCTCCTCTCCGGGGCGAGAACCCTTCCTTCCGCTCGGCCTGCAGTCGGCCGGGTGGTCAGTGCGCCCGCGGAGGCCAGCGGCCGCTCCCCTTCCTGCGCCTGCCGCGCTTCCTCTTCCTCGGCAGCCTGCCGCCGCCCTTTGTTTCCCGCCGGCCGGGCGCGGCTATCTTTAGGCGGCAGGTGCGGAGCCCGCTATCCCGGTTGCCCGCCGGTCACCGCCCCCCACGTGACGCCGGGCGCTATAAATAGCCAGCCGGGCCGGGAGCAGCAGAGCCGGCGCTGCGGGAGGGCGCGCCCCGGTCTCGGGCGCAGCGCGGCCCGCCGGGCAGGCGCATGGAGGCGGCGGCGGGCGAGCCCTCGGGCGCGGGTGAGCCAGGAGGGGAGCGGGCGAGACCCTCCGGACCCTCGGGGGACCCTGGCCCTGCCCCGGGGAGGTGGCGCCCTGGTGAGCGGGTGGGACGCGCCCGCTAATGCCCCTCACCACACCCATAACCCCAGCGGCCTTGGGGGCTCCCAGCCCGCCGAGCTGATCTCCGTCCTGTCTCTGGTGGGAAACCACCGAGCCTAATCCTCCAGGCACTTCCTCCGGTATCAGTGGGTCCCGCGTTCGGAAGGACCCTTTCCTTTCTGAAGTCCGGGTGATTCAAACTCCTTAACTAACTGTGCTTGCCTGAACCTCGGTCTCCTTTTCTTAACTCGGGATTCAGTGTTGTTCCTACTGCCTTTGACTTGCGGCTGAGAAAACCCACTCAGCGCGAGGCGGGTTGGCTGAGGACCAGACAGTGTCCTTCTGTCTCTCCCTGGCCTGTTTCCTCATCTGGCAAAGGGACCGAGATGGGCCTCCCTTAAAGGGTTTTGAAAAGGAGCGGTTCTGCAGAAAGCAGAGGGCCGGGGCACTGGCCAGAGGAGGCTGGGCCAGGATCCCAGGAAGGGGAGGGCCCGAGGGGAGGAGGAGCTTAAGCTGAGTAGGATAGCATAGGTGGTGGGCATGGTGGGGGGCCAGCAGAGGGGGCCAGGTGGCCTGTGCCTGCTTACAGATGGAGAGTCTAGGGTTGGGCCACGGGAGTGTTCACTACCTGGAGTGGGGGTGGGCCAGCCTGGAGTTAATGGGATGGGGGATAGCAGGTGGGGACCACAGGTCTTGGGTCAGCCTTACCTGGGGGTGGGTGCGGGGTTCTGATAGCATCCTGGCCTCTGCCCCTGCAGCTGGAGTCTCTTGGTCCTTCATTTCTGGGCTTCTTGGTGACCTCACCTGGGGATGTGTGTTAGAGATGGGGGCTCTTGCCTAGGGCCAGCAACAGGTAGAATTGGGCCACATGAGGATTCCTGGGGTAGGAGGGCCTCACATCCCTGCTTTGCCTTCCTGGGGTGCGGGTCCAGACTGCATCGATGAGTGATGGGAAGTGGTGAAATGCCAGCTTTGCTGGGCCAGCTGGTCTAGCCCAGGCTCTGATGTCTGCTGCTGACCCAGTCCAGTCTAACCCTAGATTGTCGCAGGCCTCTGACAACTTTGGGCTCCCATAAGAGCAGTATGGGGGTGACTCAGGCCCCCTCTGATTGGCAGCTCTCAAGAGCCAGGAGGCACTGTCCTCTGGTACTGGGTAACAGAGCAGGCCATGTGTTGTGACCCTGGTAATCAGGTCTTCGGCCCCTGTGGATGATGGCATTAGCGCTCCCGAGTCCTATGGCCATCTTGGGCCTTTTCCCTCCTTTATTTTTATAAACATGAGTGTAACTTGTGCATGTGTACACACACACACACACACACACACACACACACACACACACACACACGTGCACTCACGCTAGTCCCAGGAGGCCCCCAGGTGTTTGTGTGCTGTCAGCACCGCTGGCTTCCGTCAGAGCATCAGATGATTGCTCTGAGTGGCACACAGGTTGTTAAACCAGGGACAAGACCCCTTCCTTCTGCCTTTCCCTCTTAGTGAGTGTTCCTCTTCTGGGGGTTGAGGCTGGAATGTGAATGGAACCCCTGCCCAGAGTCTGGGGGCACCGAGCCTGCCATGTTGTGGAGGACAGGCTGAAGAGTCCCTACCTCCCCGAACAGCTGGAGCTGGGACAGTGGGCCTGTGTCCACGGCTCAAGTCCAGCAGTGGTGCCTCCGAGACCAGGGTCTCACCATGACCCTTCCTTACCCTGGCTGTGGCTCTGGGACCCCAGCCGCCTGATGGGCAGCTGGAGAAAAGGTCACTGGGGCGGGAAAAGAGGTCAGAGGTGGTGGGCATGGAAGAGATGGAAGACTGCCACGAGAGTCTCGGCCCTCACCTCACCTGTGAGGTGTCTTTTCCTTGGGTAGAGGAGGTGAGGTGTGGACACACAGGACTTATGGGAAATGGGAGTTGGGGTGAATCCATGGGACTGGAAGGGTCTGCTGACCACCGAGTCACAGTGGAGAGACCCTGGAAGCATCTTTTGTGTTTCTTTGTTGTGCAGATAGGGAAACAGAGGCCCCGAGAGGCCAGTCACATACCCAAGGTCTCCTGACCCTTCTGGGCATAGGAGGGAGCTGATGCTCCTGAGGACTTTCAGAGCCGTTTAGCTGAGGAGAGAGAAGGGGTGCAGGTACTGAGGGCTGACTTTATGACCCCCAGCAACATCCTTTCTCAAGGCCCTATCACGGATAGACCTCACTACAGGCCACCTGTGCTGTCACCACCCTGACATTTGCCTGGCAGCTGTTCCACTCTGAACTCCTAAAGGGCAAGGTGGCTCATTTTCCTCCCTGCTGGACCAGCCTATGAGTAATCAGGGGTAGAGGCAGAGGCCAAGATGGGCTCCCAGTGGCTCCCAGTGGGTGGGTCTCACACTGTCCTGAGTGATTTTCCCTGAGGGTGGGCCATGCAGAGTGATCTGGACTCTGCCAACACTCAGTGGCCAATAAGCCTGAGAAAGAGCGACTGTCCTGAGTATGTCTTCAGGGTAGACTATCTGGTGACTCAGGCAGGGCCAAGCTTGGGGGCAGGTAGATCTGGAGTCTGCTTGTGGGGCTTCTGCATGTTGGAGGGGTGTGTGCCTGCTAGCCTTCTCTTCCTGTGTTCCACCTCACCCATCCTGGTGACTGTGCCTGAGTGTCCTTTCTCCTTAGGACCCTGGGCCAGCTCTGTCCTTCCTTGGGTTTTCATATAAGGAGACTGAGGCAGAAGGAGGGCCATTCATTTCTTTCTCCTCTCCCAGATGTCAGCTGCTGAGGACCAGCCTACAATCTATGGAGTGGCCCTTGTGGGCCAGCTCTGAGCACTGCCGTGCCCAGCATTGCCCTGAGCCTGCTGCTGAGGAAGCCACGTGCCTCTGGCCCTCACCATTGCCCTTGCCTGCTGATGGCCTCTGCTGCCAGGCCTGGGGTCAGCTCTGCTGACTGAGCCCCTTCCCCCCTCAGGACTTATCATACCCCAATGGGGTAACGTGACCAAGGGCCTGTGCACCCGAGACCTCCTGCCTGCCACAACTGTGACCTCTGCCTCAGGGCTGCCAGAGTTGCTTCTGCTCAAGTTCAGTTTTCCTCCAGACTTTGGGGGTGTGGAGCCCACATTGGAGCAAAGGGGCTGCTCTCCAATGCTGAGAGGGTGTCCCCAGAGAAGAACCCACCTTAGACATTGCATAGTGGACCTACTCACTCGGGGGTTTTTAAATGTTCTTTGGATGGTTGTTATCCCCTTTATTCTCGGTTATACCCGGTTTACTCCCGGTCTCTGAGAGACGGGAGTTTGGAATTGCCCATCTTATTTTGGGGGACTGTTTTGCTCCTTTTTGGGGGTGGTGGGATTGGGTTTTTTTTTTAATTGTACAAACATTGAATGGCCTCTTTCTCTTTCCCAAATATTTGTGCAGAGTGTAGGGTTGGGTTTAAAAAAAGATCCTTTCTCTCAGACAAGTATTAGGGTATTGCTCTACTCAGTTTTCTGAGGCTCCAGGGGGCTCCTCTGGCTGTATCCCAGGTCCTCTCTGCAGCTGCCTCCCACCCTGCCCTCTGCCTTTGGGAGGCATGGCGCGGATGAACCGGCCTGCCCCGGTGGAGGTGAGCTACCGTAACATGCGCTTCCTCATCACACACAACCCCACTGATGCCACTCTCAGCACCTTCGTGGAGGTGAGTGGGGCTGGGTGGGTAGCAGACAGGGGTTTGGGGAGCCTGGTAAGTGGTGAGGGGATGGGTAGCTGTCCATGTCCAATCCTCTCTGTGTGCAGCTGGACACAGGTGCCTGTTACAGGGTCCTGGATGGGGCATATGGAGATGTTTGAGAGGCTTGGGAGTGGGGAGTCTCACGGTCCAGTGGGTTCCCTGGGACCAGCATGAGAGCAGTGGGGCTTGAGCCTGTGGGAATCCAGGCAGGCAGAGAGGTGAGGACTCCATGTGATGGGGTGACACCCAGGCCCCATCTGAGTAGGCCACAGGAGTGAGAGACCGTTGACCCTTGAGGGATGGCAGGAAGAGATGCCTGCTGCCCCAATGCATTTGCAGGATTTGTGTTGGGGACAGACTACTAGAGTGGTCAGTGTATTTGCAGCCCCAGGGCCATTTACAGAGCTGGCAGCTGCATGTGGGCCAATTACAGAACCCATTACAGAGGCACTTTGCAGAGCCATCCCTCAGCCCTCCCATCCCTGATGGGCCTGTCATAGTCAAGTGGGGATGTGGATGTGAGAGGGCACGGGAAACTGTGTAGGGAGCCTGGTCCCAGCCCCCGAGCTTGGTGCCTTGCTGAGAGCAACTGCCCCCTCGCACAGCTGAGACCCTTGGGACAACAGCAGGGCATGGGGAAGGAAGTAAGCACAGCACTGTGAGTGACTGGGGGAACCAGGATGAGGGCTCAGTGCAGGCCCAGGTTCACGGTCCAGGGAGTGATTAGCATCAGGGCCCAGTGTGGACCGGGGCTCAGTGCGTAAGCAGTGTCAGGGATGGCTTAGTCTGTGGCTAGATTTAGGGCTCAGTCCTGAGCAGGATGGCAGCTTCCTCCACTGAAGGTACAGAATGGTTCAGAGGGATCCCTTGGCCTCAGAGGCGGCCACCCCTCTCCCTCCCTGTATTCTTAGAATAGTTGGGTCCTGGCCTCTCTGTATCTGGTGTCCGCATTGCATGACCAGTGCGACCCAGTGATCCCTCATCACTCCCAGAATATCTGCCGGGAGCAGGTGGGGGTGGCACTGGCCCTGCCCGTGCCCTTGGGTATAAATATCCCTTGTCTGGCTGTGAGCTTGATGACCTTTTGGCTGGTCAGCATGGGGTTCCCGTGCGTGTGCAGCACCCCTGCTCAGGCTGCCCTGCTGGCTCCGAGGCCTGCTGCCCGTGGGGCCTGCCCCTCAGAGGCCCATTCAGGCCCTGCCTATTGGGAAGCCAGGGCTTTTATCTAGTGAATGAGACCCTGCTGGTGGAGTTGGGGTGTTGAGTACTGTAGTGGCTAGGGGTACATGCAGTGCGCTGTCACAGCTTTGAGTGTGAATGATGGTGAACAAAGATGGGGATGCCTACCTGTCTTTAGGTAGCCGAGGAATAGGCACCTGGGACATCAAGTGAGACCGTCCGCCAGTCACTGTCTTGCTGTGGAGGACACAGCCCTGGAGGGGGCACCGAGGAAAACACAGTCCTGTCTTTGACCTGAGGACACTTGGACATATCCTAGCTAGGGGTTTGGTCCTGAGCCCCCAGCCCTGCTCAGCCTGTTCCTTCTTGACACCCTGCCAGGACCTGAAGAAGTATGGGGCTACCACAGTGGTGCGAGTGTGTGAAGTGACCTACGACAAGGCCCCCTTGGAGAAGGACGGCATCACTGTTGTGGTGAGGGGGCCCAGGGGACATGGTGGCTGCCCTGGGGGTAAGGCTTTGTAGGCTGGTGGGTATTTCTTGCTGAGAGGCCAGTGCATGGTGTCCCTTGGGTGGCTGGTCCGTAGGTGTGTGGATACCTGGAGGAGGTCAGAGGTTGGGATGTGTGACCCAGAGTAAGTTACTCCTCCTGAACTCCCTTTTCTCAGACTTGGGCCATGAAGCAAGGGTCAGGTTTGTTGGTTGAAGCCATGGCTCCTGCAGTTGGGTCTTATGTGTTGGCGTGGGGTGTGTCTGTAGCCCATGAGGTGCTACCAAATCTCAACCATAGGGCAGCCTGCAGCCTCTTATATGGTTCCATCTTGGGGAAAGCAAGGCATGGGGACTGTATTGATCTGAGGCCACATAGTTTGTGACATGACAGTGCCTTGGGGAGAGGTGCTCATATCACATCTGGCCCTGCCTGCCAGGTGTTTGCCATGGGGGTGGCCTGAGCCCAGCAGCCCACATGGTGGGGAGCATGGCCTGCCCAGGGGCCTTGTCTCAGCCTCTTACCACTTCTTGTCTGGGGCTCTGTTTCTGGGCAGCAGATGGGCTGGGGAGGCCCTCTGTGGAGGCTGTGGGGGACCCTTGGGGCTGTTTCCTTGGCTCCCATGGCCCCACGGACCCAGTTCATGTGGTGGATGGGGTGGCTCTGTGGCCATCTGCCTGTGGGTTGAGCCACAGTACCTATGAGGCCCCCCAGCCCCTGGCAATGGGCTTCGTACCCAGGAGCCGGTGCGCAGTTCTCCATTCACCTGTCCACAGCTGTTACTGTGTGTAGCAGCTACTGCCTGGGAGTTGGAGTGTGTGTGTGGGGAAGAGTCTGTTCTTTGGGGTCACAAAGACCTAGGCTGAATTCCACCATTGTCCCTTTCCAGCTGTGGGACCTCACGGGCCCCTCTGAGCCTCAGGGTCCTCACCTGAAAATATAGTTGCTTAGAAGGATTTGAGATAAAGGTACAGAAGCACATCTTAGCGCAGGGCACCTCAACAGTCTCCCCTCCCCTTCCCCAGCAGCAGGAGGCACTGGGGTTAGATTTAAGGCAGTACTCATGGGCCCATGTGGTTTCGCCCCAATAGCAATCTACAGCAGTCCCTGTGCACCCGCGTTACCAATATGTGAATGTCTTGTCCCCCTGCAGTACATGCTGGACGGGGCTGCCTCTGCTGGGGACTGTCCTCACCTCCCCAGCTGGGGATCCAGCTGGTATGCAGAGTCCAACTCCCAAAAACATGGCCTTCACTGCACACCTGTCTTTATGCTTTGTGACACCTGGGCTGTGTGGCAGCCCCGGAGGCTGGGGATGCAGCAGGCATGGGTGCCAGGCTTGTGTGTTACTGCAGGGGACAGGTCCCCTCAGGCCAACCTCAGGTATTCAGGTGGGAGGGACCACTTCTAGGGCTGGGTTGAGGTGGGCAGAGGGCCCCCAGGCTCCCTAGGAGCTCACACTCAGAAAGGATGGGGTGATTCAGTGAGGTACTCCGGTGGGTGCAGTTGAAGTAGGCAGGATCAGAGAATTAGTTGTTCACAGCAAGGTGCCTTTAGCCCCACCAGCCCCTCTTGCTAGCTCCTGGCATTCTCTCCCCCTCCCAGCAGGCACAGAGTGGCAGGGTGGCCACTCCCACCCCTACAAGTTGGGGTCCTCATGGACTGATTTACCCACAGGACTGGCCATTTGATGATGGGGCACCCCCACCCAGCAAGGTGGTGGAGGACTGGCTAAGTCTGCTGAAGGCCAAGTTCTGCGATGATCCTGGCAGCTGCGTGGCTGTGCACTGCGTGGCAGGCCTGGGACGGTGAGTAGGGGAAAGAGGTGGGGGTGGAACGGGCTCTAGTCCTCGGGTGCTGCTGTTGCTGGGAGCTCTCTCGGAGCTTGGGATCTTGTAGCCAAACCTCACTTTCCAACGTGAGCCACATCCACATGAGCATCCCAGAGATCTGACTCCCCAAGGTCAAGGCTTCCCTGACAAGCCTTCTAATGGCCTGGCAGTGAGGAAGTCCTTTCCAAAGTCTGGCCTGACACCCTCCTGCAGTGGTTGCTCCCCTGTGCTCCTCCCCAGACACATAGGTACCCCGGTGAACTGGGCCATGAATGGATTTCTGCTCAGACAAGGATCAGCAGCCTAGGTCTACTTGAAAGGACCGGGCAGTGGGGTCCTCTATGTTGGTCAGAGCAGCAGCTGATTGGGGTTCCCAGCAAGCCTGTATTAAGAGTCCTTACCCTGAGACAGACCTGAGCTAAGGCCTTCATTTGTGTGCTTGTTTATCCCTCTGTGACACATTTTACTGATGAGGCACAGAGAGGCAGTCCACATCCCCTGGGTTGCACAGGAGGGACAGGAGAGAGTCAGGGTCTGGACCTGGCAATGGGGCTGGTCTCCAAGTCAGTGCCCTTCTCAGGGGAGCTGGGGAAACTGGGTAGGTGGGGGTCTTGTCCCTCTGAACCCCCCCATACCTTGCATCCTCAGTAGGGAGCCTGTTAGGGGACAGCCAGGGTACAGAGACTCAGAGAATACCAGCCCAGCTGTCTGTTTGCAGGGCTCCAGTCCTGGTGGCATTGGCCCTCATCGAGAGTGGGATGAAGTATGAAGATGCCATCCAGTTCATTCGTCAGTGAGTGGCCGGCTGTGGGGCTCAGTGGGCAACTGCTTGGGGGCCTGGGTTTTCGTTGTGGCCTCTCTTCCCACATCCCTCTCTGGTGGTGCAGCAATCTCCAGCAACCCCACTCCTGCCACAGGTCTTCTCTCTATTCACATGACTCCCTTGGCCTGAGGCTGCGTGGAGTGGCCAGGGGCATCCCTCCTACCCCCGCAGATCCTGTCTGCTTAATGCCTCTAGTGTTTTTACTTTCCTCATTGCTGAAACAAAGTGTTTGAGACCCAGAGTTAAAGGTGGAAAGGTTTATTTCAGCTCTCAGTTTGTAGAGGTTTAAGTCCTTAGTCAGCTGGCTCCAAGGCTGGGTGGCATGGCAGAGGGACATCACAGAGGTGAAACCACTCATGATATGGCAGGCATAAGGCAGCAAACAGCAGGCAGCAGCAGCCTGCCTTCCATCTTTTATCCCATCTAGACTATAAGCCTTTTGGGTGGTGCCACCCACACCCAGGTGAGACCTCTGTTTTCAATAAATTCATTCAGTCACACCCAGAACTATGATAACTCCAACAGTGGGCTAAATTGGTACCACATGCCCTTAATCCCAGTATCATATACCCTTGATCTGACAGTTGTGAACAGTCCCATAGTGGATGAGGTTTTAGGGGAACATCTACAAGCTAAAACATCTGGTGACCCTGCCATGTGCAGAGGACCTTGGGTATGGTCCAGCCTCTCAGTGGGAAGCAGGAACCTCAAAGCCTTCCAGTGTCTTATCTATGCACAGAGACACCAGAACCAGGGCCTGGCTGTCCCTCAGCCTGTTGTCTGTGGCTTGGCCCCTCTCTAACCTCCTTGGAGATTTCTAGCCAGCTGTCTTCTAGTCACTTGGTGGCTCCCCAGGGAAGGCTCCTATCTGCCTTACTCAGCCAGGCAGGGACAACAGTGGCTGACCCTGTCCCCTCAGCCTGTGTGTGTATGTGCATGTACACGTACAAGTTTGATGTGCACATGCTCTTGGAGGTTGTCCTGAGACAGCCTCTGCCAGGACTCAGGCATCTTCTCAAGACATGCTTGTTCCTAGCTTGCCACCTAACATGGTTTTACTGCAACTGCAAGTATACTAAGGGGCCTGGGTGACATGCACACAGAGATAAGGGTATGAATGCATATACACTCTCAACACATTGTACCAGGACACACGTGCTCGCATACATGGGCACGTGTGCATACGTAACAGTATACATGTGGGTATACTAGTACTGTTTCTCTCCAGGCTCTGGGCTATAGTCTTGAGCAGGACTGGCTGCACGGAAAGAGTTAGGCCTTTGGGTCACTGGTACCCCTCATCTCACCTCTGCAGCCCAAGCCTGTGCCAGGCAGGCAGGGACAGTTCTGTTGGTCATGAGGCGCAGCCCCAGGCTTTTGTCCTTTGTGTGGGTGGACAAGTGGTCAAGCCGGAGCCTGGGCGACCTTCTGACTGATCCCATTTCCCCAGGAAACGTCGTGGTGCCATTAACAGCAAGCAGCTCACCTACCTGGAGAAATACCGGCCCAAACAGAGACTGCGGTTCAAAGACCCAAACACACACAAGACCAAATGCTGCATCATGTAGCTCAGGCCTTGGCCAGGCCTGGGCCTGTGGTGATTTGCCCTCCCTTGTCCTGGTTGACCTCCATTGGTCTGTCTTCCTGTGCCTCCGTGCCCCTGTGTCCCAGGAGTGAGGCAGCTGTGTGTTCTGTGTCTTGGCCTCGTGTGCCCCTCTCCTGGGCATGGTGTTCCTGAGATTGGTCAGCCCTTATCTCTGGACCTCCTGCCAGTGACCTCCAACAAGCCCACCGCTACCACAGGTCTCTTCTCTCACCTGGACATGGTGGTGGGTGTATTTTTAACCACTGGGCCCAGCCCCTCGGGTGTGGTCCCTTACCCTGCCCTGTTCTTGGCACCTTAAATTATTTGATTCTGGAGCAGTCAGATGCTCTGGACACTCAAAGGCAATAAAACAGGAACCGTGGTCATGTGTGGAGAGTGAGTACAGGGCCAAGTGGGGGTGGATGGTGGCCTTGGGTCTAGGAGGTCCCTAACAGGGAACTCAAGCCTGTGTGAACCCCATATGCTGGGTCCTGTGGTGCCCCCTGGTGGCCATGTTGGGACCATGCACTCGAATTTAGGTCCGCATTCCTGGTATACCAGAGTGGAGCTGGGTCCCTAAAGGATGGCGGGTTGCAGTTTTGGGGTCAGGAAGTTAAGAAGGGAGGCTGGGTCACCAGTGTTGCTTCTCTGCAAGTCAGGGTAGGTTTATGTGGCAATTTTGGGGCCTTGGGTCCACAAAGAGGGGAAGGTTTCCTATTCCACCTCCAGCAGGGTCTGTGTGTCCGCCTTGAAGGCCAAGGGAAGTGGCCCAGCAAGAGGTGATGTGAACAACAGGTACAGAGGCCACCTGCAGCTTAGGGCAGAGGAAGGTGAATGCTGTTTGGGGAGGGAGCTGCCTATGGGCCTGGCTCACACCATATCTGCTTCTGGGTGTAGGTTCCTAATATGACGGCTGCCTGCCTGTGCAGGAAAGAGTGTAAGGGGCGGGGGCACCCCTGGAAGCGTAGGCTCAGGGCTTACCTGGCTGAATGTGTAGAGGGGCTGGGAGTGCATTTGCCTTAAGGCCCTTAGGCATTGACAGCCACCTGTGGGTGCCACCTACAGACCTGCTCTGACCATTCCTCCTGGCCACTGCCTAAGCTGGTACTTTCAGCCCTAGAAAGGGGCCCAGAGCACTGTCCCTCTGCATCTGCTGCCCAGCCTTTGGCCATCCCCTCCCCAGAACCCCACCGTACCAGTTTCCCTTCTCTCATACTACGCCCTCTGTGATGGGTCCCCAGGGCAGCTGGGGTGGGGGTGGGGGTCTCATTTGGATTCCCAGAGATCACTGTTTCTGCTCTTCCCTAGAAGGCGAGGCTTGTACACAGGCTGCACGGTGAGCACTTGCCAGAGCTCATTCCACCAAAGGCAGGTGCTCACCGCCTCAGCCTGTCTGCTATCCTCACAATAAGGCCACTGCAGTGGGGGAGAAGACCCTGTCTTCCCATATCCCACCTGCTATGCGAGGCCTAGCTTTAAATACTATTCTGTCAGTGCTACAACAGAGCTCCTGCTCAAGCCGAGTTCCCAGAGCCTGCATGTCCCCAGAACTTGGCTAGCGCCCCCACCTCATTTCCAGCTGAGGGACAGACTCATGGAACCTGAGGGCTTTGTCCTGTCAATGTTGGCTGCACAAACTCACTCCGGAGTCCCAAGCTTTAGCTAAGTGAGACTTTCCAGAAGTACAGAAGAGCTCCAGGGGACTCAGGGTGACTTGAGGGCAGCTGATTGGGCAGCTAGCAAGCTCACCCCAAGGAGACCACCACCCTGCTGAGACAGCTCTGCCACCTGCTAGGCTAGATCTAAGCTGCTGTCACTAGCTAAGGACTGAAGCAGAGGAGAGCTCTGAGACAGATGCCCGTGAGGTCAGGGTTGCCAGTGGGATATGTAAAAGGGTGAAACTGCCCCAAAGCCCCCAGGTAGCTGCACTTCTGGAAAGAACAGAGGGAGGAGACTCAGTGTGGCCTGCTGGCCCGGGCTCTTGGCTGGAGGTTTGCCAGGTCTGTCAGTGTTTGGTCTCTCCTCTGCTTGAGCACACCCATGGATTTAGCTACATCTATGGTACATTTGGGGAAAGATGTTGTATTTTTTTCAGTCCTCTTTCCTAATTCCAGGCCTTGTGCTCCAGCAGCATGGCTGCCCCAAGATGCGCACAGTCTTGGGGTTTGGGAAATATGGGCTGGGATTCTGTTGGGAAGGTGGGGTACTTGGTCTAAAGAGGGCTGGGGCTTGTCCACTGGATTTGGGGGATATTGTACGGGGTGGTGTCTAAGCCTAGAGGAGCTCAGGTGTGGTCAGAGCAACACCCCAGTCTCACCTGACCTGACTGAGGAGAAGAGGCAGACCTTGTGGGAGTGCTCTGTGGGGGAACTGGCTGGTCTGGCAGGGTCCTGGGAGATCCCCCACTGTGATGTGTGCTGGACTCCAGGCAAGACCCACCTGCCCCCTCTACTCTTGGTAAACTGAGGCTCACAAGGAAGCCATGGCATTTTAGATGGAACACCAGAAGCCTAGGCCTTGCCTCAGGCCATGCAACTCAAAGTCAGCCCTTGTGCACCTGGGGGTATGACTTGGGCTAGGCTGGGCCTGCTGCCAGCTCCCAGGGACAGTTCTGACCAGAAGGATGGAGGGAGGCTGGCTTGAGGAGCTTGTCTCCGCCATCAGTCCCTCAGCCACTCCAAACTCCAGCTAGAGACAAACTGAAGGCCATGGGCTTGACCAGTGGCTCCATTCATCTGTGCATGCCCAGGACTCAGACTAGGTCACATCAAATTGACCCCATCTCTGGGAATGGAGGGGCAGCCAGCTGTAGGACCCATCACAGGCTTCACAGCCCCACAACCCCCATCCCTTTATCTTTTCTGCCAGTGTCTCCAGGGGCTTAGCTTGACTACAGTGAGGCCCATGGGGTGGACAGCGAGCGGCCAACAGGTCTAATGCTTCTTTGTTGAATCTAGACCTTTCTTTTAAATGGAAAAGTTATATAACGAAGCTCTGTGTGCCAGGCTGGACTTTGAGGTTGGGCAGAGAGGGAGAGAGGGTGGGAGGACAGCAGGAAGTCACTTCTGGGGTCTGGCTGACACCTTCTGCAAGAAGCAGAGCTGCCTGGTGGCAAATTCTTGGATGCTGGGCTCTGGGTCTCTTTTGAGATCTTCAAAAGCTTCAGGAGAAAAGGGTTAAGTCAGAGGTGATCCTGATCTGGGAGCAGTCCCCCTCGTTCCAGCTGACTGAGGTCCCAGACAATTCCTTTCCCTATTCTCAAGGCATCTGTCGGGCCCTTGTTTTATGGGAGCTCAAGAGTGAGCTCACCCACCATTCTGTGCCATGACTGAAGCGTGGAGAGGGGAATGGGCAATATGCGGAGGTGGACTCTGGACTTGGAGGGCTGGAAGAGCCCTACTCCTGGGGGCCTCAGTCTTGCTACTTTTGAAATGGTCGTAGGACACTGAGCTGGACTTGGGGGCTGTGGGTGGGGAGGGCTGGGGCAGGGCTGCTTACTGTGGAGCAGTAGGTCCATATCCCTGTTGTTCAGCGTCTGGGACAAGGCCCGGGGGAAGTAGCAGATGGTGTAACCTGTCCAAAATGGGGTGCAGCTGGCCAGTGGGTAGCAGCTCCCATCTCCTTGGGAGCCCAGAGCACTCCTGCTCTTCCTCAGCCCCAAGCTCCTTCACCCACTCCTTTCCCTGTTGGTGGTGGGTGGGTCAGAGTGGGTGTAGGCCAGGTTAAGCCTGAGGTCTCCAAGCCTGGCCCTCTGCCCACCTATGAAGAGTATTGCCCAGGTCTTCATGTGGCGGTGGCATCTGTACAGGTACTTGAGGGCCTGTGCCAGGTGGTTGTTGAACTCTTCCTGGCTGCGGGTCATCTGGTGAGAGGACAGCCACCTGTCATTGTTTGGAGCTGGGCCCGGAGGGACCACTGATCTCCAGCCATGCCCTCTCCAAAGCCCTCAAACCAAACAGGATACAGCCATCCCGGTTTCACCACACCCTAACCCTCACCAGGCAGGTCCAGAGGAAGTGGCGGGCACTGAGGCTGTGCTCCCAAGCCAGCGTGCAGAAGAGGATGTGCTGTGGCTGCCAGTGCAGCAGGGCAGCACAGCGGTAGAAGGCAAACTTGGCCTGCTGTGGGGACAGCCACAGGAGGGTCACCCACTGCCTGATTTACCCAGCTATGCCCTAGCCCAGGAATCACAGCTCGGTGAGTATCGGAGGTGTTCTGCTGTGTGGTGCTCTGGGGTACACCCTCCTCCCTACCCAGATGCCCACGTGCAGCTCTTCTGCACTGTGCAAGCTGAGGATGAGACCAGGAGAATTCTGTCTACATTCCAGCAAATTCAGGGCGTGACTGAGCCCTACCTGAGCCTGGGCTGGGGACCCAATAGCAGAACAGACGGCAGAGTCGTGTGTGTGTGTGTGTGTGTGTGTGTGTAGGGGCTGAGGTCTGGTGCTGGCCCAGGGACCCCCTTACTTTTCCACCTCTTGCCCAGCCCCTGGCTAAGGTGAAGCCCCGTCATCCTGTCCTGCCACAGAGGGCACTGACCATGGCAACGGCTGGGCATTGGTCCTTTAGGTGCAGGAGCAGGGGCACCATGCTCTGGTACACCTGGGTTTGAAGGTCACTGGGATTCCCATTTGCCATCGAGGTCACCAGGTCCCCAAAGAGTGCCATGGCTGCTGCTCGAATCTGGTCCCGCTCCTGCAAGACAGGTCTCAGGGCCCAGGTCTTACCCTACTTGGGACCCCAGCCCACTGGATTCTTTCTGCAGAGTCCTTTGACTAGGCCTGGGTCTCCCAGGGCAGAGTGAATCTCCTCCCTCAGACAAGACTCAGGGCAGGACAGACTTTCTCCCTCAGACAAAGTTCCCTGGCTATGTCCCAGGTCAAACTCAAAGACATAAAATTATTCTCTTTTATAACTATAGTATAAAACTGTCATGAATGCAGTTCAAGGGAGGTGCTATCCCACATAGTTTCCAGTGAAGGAAAAGTAGTCCCTCTAAATGAGACCCCAGGGCAGTCAGAAGGCTAAGAGATCTGTGGGGCTGTTGCAGGATCTGAGATTGAAGGTCAGAGTGACTGGATTTGACAGTGTTCAGCTTTGAGGTGGAGCCGAGCGCCACCTAGTGGACAATCAGCTAACCCGGTCCACCTGCTGCCTGAAGAGGGAGGCACCCCCTGCCCGCCTTATCCCCGAGCGCCTACGTCGTCGAAGAAAGTGTGGACATTGATGGCGACACCGAGGCTCTGGGCGCCTGCGCCCTGCCTGCCCAGGCGGTGCAGCACGTCCGACACGGTGCTCATGATGCCCAGGACCACTGGCTCACTCTTCTGGAAGAAGCCTTCATGGAAATGCGGCAGCTGCGCACGAAGCAGGCTTTCCTGCGGGGCAGCAGGGTGGTGGGTGGCGGGAGGGGACCTGCTCCTCTGGCCCCTGTGCGCCCATATCCCTGACCAACTGCGGTCCGCCCGACCCACCCGCGACTGTGGCTTCCAGTGACTGAGAGCTTAGATCCCACCCACCGTCCGCCGCCCGTTGTTGTCTTGGACAGAGCTGCTTCTCGCTATAGCACCTGGGCTTCGCAATTAAAGGAGAGATATGGATGCACAGAGCCCTCGCTGCTACGTGGGTCCCAGCTCCTTCCTACTCCCAGGCCTAGAACACCCCTACCTTCACCCCATTTCCAGGCTTGCCCAGATCAGAGGAGAGGAGTTCTGAGCCTGAGGGGAAAGGCTGGTCCTTTGTAAGTCCGGAAATCACTGGTTCCTCTCGTAACTGGGATTCTGTGTGCGCCTGGTGGTGGCTCCAGACCTTTGGTGTTACTGGTGACCATTGTTACACGTTTTGCTTTAAACATTCTTTTTGAATTTATTTCCAGCCAGTTCTGTCTGCCCACTGTGGCATTGCATTCCTGTGTTCTCAGGCGCATTGGCAGTAAGCAGCATGGATGCTTCCTGCCATTGGCCACTTGCGTGCAAACCAGGTTGGTTTTTTTTTCAAAACTCATTTAAATAAGTTTGAAGCAGATTTTGTTAGCTTCCTAAGCTCTGTTTCATTTAAAAATATTAAGTTCATTTTCACTTTCTGCCCGCCTTTGACGGAGCTAGTTTGAGGGGATGGGGTTCCACTTATGGGCAGGACTGGCAGCAGGGAATTCTAGTGAACAGGCCAGAAAAGAAGCTGGATGGGCATCTATGATGTGTGTCTACTCTCCCTGGGCAGGCTGGCCTGCTTCATCCCATCTTGGTTGGCCCATCTTGACCCTGCTCGGATAGTCTTCCTTGCTCATGGGCCTTCTGGCTCATACTTCACTTGGGATGAAAAGGGACCTATGTCCTCTTCTTCATACCAAGCTCTACTGGTCTAGCAGGGCCCTTACCCGCCTTCTCTATTCCCTATGGCTCCTGTCAGGGCAGGGTGTGCAGGAGGCGCATGGGAACTCTCTAGGATCACATGTCTGGGCGAATGGCTAGAGAAAGTGCAGGGGTTACTGAATGAATGAATGAATGATTGGATGAGTGATTATAAAAGGAATGAATAAGTGAAATAATGGAAGAATGAGTCAGATGAAGGACTCTAAGAACAAACATATGCACGGATGGATGTGCAGACGGGTGGGTGGATGGATGAATGTGCATGGGTAAATGAATGGTTAGATAGGCAGATGGGTGAATGACTGCATGATGGATGTATAGATAGATGGATTCGTGAATGGGTGGATAGATAGATGAATAAGTGCTATCTAGTCTCCATTTCCTAATATGAAGTGCCCCTGAGTCACATGCGATGCATATGGCTTTGTTAACGCTAATGCAGATCTCCTCCTACCCACATGGAGACCTATGAATTGAACAGAATTGTTGCACCAATCTGATGGTTAAATGGCTTTAGGGAGTCTTAGCAAAATGCCCCTTATGTGGCCTTCCCATGACCTCATTTTATCCCGTGAGCCCTGAACAGTCATCTGTGCATTCACAGCAGCCTTCTCTAACTGTAGCAGAACAGGCTGGACCTCCCTCGAGGGAGGCCCCATGGCAGTTGAAGGGAGGTGAAAGCCTTACCCTTCCTGACCACCTGGGATATCTCTGTCCGGCTCAGCATTTTTATTGTATGGTGTCACCAGTGGCTGGACCCATACAGGATGTCCTCATAAAAGGTACTGCTGCTGTTTGTGACAGCCAGTGGCTCAAGGGCTGATCATGGCTCGAGGGCTGTTCATGGCCCAGCACTGGTCTCTGCAGCTCCTATTTCCACTTCCATTTTATGTAGACAGATGGCCCAAGGTCTAAAGAATTGTTAGCTAGAAGGTACTGGAGTGGGGGGGGGCTGGTCTGCTTCTTGGCTTCTAACCATGTACGGTGCCTCAAAAACCCACAGAACAGGGTGTTGGGAATTTGATGGCCTGAACTGGGTACCTCCCCAAGTCAACTTGTAGGCCTTCTCTCCACCAGCCATTCATTATGGGATGTGGATTGCTATGGTAATGGAGAAGTGTTGGTTGGAATGGTGAAGCAATGTCAACTGTGAGTTGGGGGAACCCATCCACCAGGTTCTCTGGTGCCGATCTCTGGCCAGGTGTGGAGAGCTTCCTCAGTGGGCAGCTGAGGTCTGCAGTAGACTTGTCTCTCGGGAAAGGACACTGCTATCCCTCCTACAGCCTGTTCCTGTCTACTGATGAGGGGAGATTGTCTGATGTCACTGTCCTGAAGGGGTAGAGCCTGAAGGAACAGAGCCAGGATCCCACCCAGCGGGCCTTCCTGCCCCAGTTCCTGTAACCATCATGCCTGCTGGTCCTCACCTTCTCTGGGTGGAAGAGAATATTTCCAAGTGCCTGCAAGCTGTACACACGCACCTCTGGGCTAGTGTCGCAGAGACATTTTGCCAGCACAGTCCTGGCAGCCTGACTGGGAAGGACCTTCAGCAGAGCGGGGCTGTAGAGAAACTGGGGTTGGGACATGCAGGTAAGGTTTGCTGCCCTCTCTGGGCATTTGCATGTGCATTATGGGGCTCAGGGGTCAGGGTCTGGGTGGGTACAGGGGGACAGGAGCACAAGTGGTCCAGACTTTCCTATGAGTGGGGTGGAGGCTGAGGCCGTAGGGTTTGACTTGGGTTCAAGGGTTTGTGTCCCCTGTTGTCTACCATACAAAAGGCCTGCCCCAGCCCCCCACTCCGCCCCCAGTTTGATTCAGAGACCTTAGCTCTGCAACTAGCCAACACAACATCTTTCTGAGTTTTGCAGTTTTACAGATCCAGGCAAGCACCTGGACCCACCAAGGCAGGACAAGGCTAATGCTAGCACATGGGTTTGCCGGAGCCTGTGTCCAGTGTTCCTCCAGGTCCCCAGAAGCCTTTGCAAGGTACAGAGAGACAGGACCCCCAACCCCCAGTCTTGCTTCTACCTCCATGAGGATGAGGATGGCCACCTTCCTCTCACGCTCCTCTTGGCTCTGCAGGCTGGGCAGCAGCTGGCTAAGCACGGCCTTAATCTTTCTGCAGTGGTTCTGCACCATGGCCCTAGGGTACAGGGCCTAGGCTGTGGTCACTTCCAGAGTCTATCCTCCTGCCAGAACCTAGGCCAGGGGTGTCTGTGGCCAGGAGTGTCCTGATGTGGGTGAGCATTCTGATGTGGCAGGCACGCACCTCTGAGCACACCCCACTCCATTTGCACCACAGTTCCCAATTTGTGCCAGGCTTGGGCTGGGATGGGGGAGGCCAAGAAGTAGCAGTGACAATCCTTGTTCCTCAGGAGGTCTCAGACCAGGTGAGGGCTTAGGAGATTCCAGCATCAACAGGCATGCCTGTGATTAGGCCAGGGACACATTCCCTTTGGCGCCCCAGAGCCTCTGTGTATACACTTAGGGTCCCCAGAGCCTGCCTGTGAGCAGGACCTCTTGGATTTCCTAGTGGCTCTGTCACTCTGCCTGCTACATGCAGCCCTTGGGGGTGGTGGTGGCCTAGAGCAGGTGCTCCTCCTCTGACCCACACACTGTTACCTGGCAAGGAGGACCACACCCTGCGGGTAGGTGCTGATGGAGGAGAAGTGTTCCCAGGCACCCTGAAGCTCCAGGTGAGCAAAGTCATGACAGTGTCCTGTGGTGAACAGCAGGCTCTTCAGGGCTTCCAGGGATGTGCTGTAACCAGACAGAGGAGTCAGGGGCCACCTAGATTCACAGTGGTCATCCAGGCCACCCCTGCTCTTGGAAAGAGGGCACCTTCTTGTGGGGAAATACACTCGACTCCTGTCTTGACTGCAGCCATTCTGAGGACCTCGTGACACCTGCATGGTTCTGCCTTCTTCATCACAGAAACACTCTAGTGTGGTAGGCTGGGGTCCCCCAAGGGGAGAGAGAGAGAGAGAGAGAGAGAGAGAAAGAGAGAGAGAGAGAGAGAGAGAGAGAGAGAGTGTGTGTGTGTGTGTGTGTGTGTGAAACCAGCTCTTGGGGAGAGAGACTCAACCTTGGTTTGACCCACTGTGATTGTGGTGCCTTTAGAGCATCCTGGAGGGGACAGTGACCCTTTGGCTGGGCAATGGGGTGGAGCTCAGAGGACATGAGGGACCATGGAAGCCTGAGAGGCTCCGGGACTCTGGTACCTGCAGAGAATAGGGAGACCAGGGTGCATGCCCCTGCGAAGGTAAGGGAGAACACCCTGTGGGGTACAGGGTGTACCTGTGTGCAGGTGCCTCGCCTGAACTTCTCAGGTAACCATCCCTTGTTGCCCTCCTTCACAGAGGAAGAAGCATCCCAGCGAGGTGAGGTGTCCTGGCCAGGCCTCACAGCCTGGTCAAGGACAGCAGGAATGGAGTCAAGCCAGGGGTCTGGCTCCAAACTTGTAACGTCACTACAACAGGTACAGGGCTGCCCTGGGCACTGATTACAGGGCGTGAACACACATGGACAGTCTGGGAATGCAGGCTTGCTTGGCTCGCTATCCTGTCTCTATTCCTGGCTACCCTTTGCCTGGTCACTGGGAGTCTGTCACCTGGGTGTGTGGTCACACACTGGAACGAGGCTGTCAGCTTGGACAGCATGTTTCTGAGCAGATTTGCAAAACCAAGTGTTCAAGGATGAAATGCCATTCTGAAAGTCCCTGATGATGCCAATTCAAATGCCAGCTGGCTTGTGATCTTGCCCCAAGCTGTTTCATTAAAAAGAGGCAGCATTCAGGTCACTGGTCTCAGCCACAAAGTGATGATGGTTTTTCGGAAGACAAGAACTTGCGAAGATGGGACATTTTGTTCACTCTGGGAAGCTCTGGAAGTTTTGGTCTTAGGGACTTTGGGCATTGTGATTGATTGTCCTTTGTGACTGCGCTGACCCTGTAGCCACAGTGGGACTTCTGGGAAGGTGGCTGCCAGCTGAGCTTTCCTGGAAATCCTCTGAGGGTTCCTACAACCTGTAACCTGTGGCCCTCCCCAGGCCCCTTAGCAACTTTCAAGGACATGCATCTCTTATGCTGACTGTGGCAAGATAGTTTGTCTTTCTTCCTGGCCCCAACGTCATGGCTCTCAACACTCTGGCATCAATGATGCCCACCCCATCCCCAAGGGACTCCACTTTCCCTGGAGGGGACAAAGTCTCAAAGGAAAGAGGAAGAAACAACACATGTGTTCCCTGAGAGCTGACCAGACACAGCCTCATACTTCCCCAAGCTCATCATCTCCTCATCCTGGTTTCCCTTTTGTTTTTAATTGCCGCAAAATATGTTTGCGCAGTGTGGCATCCAATAGCTTTTAAATGTATAGCATGGCAGTGCTGAACACACTGACGCGCTGTGTAACCGTGGCTGCCATTCACCCACAGAACTTTTCCAGAATCTTCCCAAGCTGAAATTGACTTTGAATTTCTTGCCCCAGCCCTGGAGTCTTCCGTTTGTCTTTCTGTCTCCAGAGATTTGATTCCCTTAGGATCTCGGGAGTGGAATCCTACAGCCCTCGGTTCCTGTGGCTGCCTTTTTTCCGCTCAGCAAGCTGCCCTCCAGCTTCCGCTGTCTCCTCATACACCAGGACACCTTCCTTTTTAAGGCTGTGTAGTAGGCCCTTGCTTGTACTGACCATATTTTCTTTCTTTCTTTTTTTTTTAATTTTATTTAAGGAGAAAAGAAAAAAAAAGCAGGGAAAGGGTACAAGTTATACAGATTTACAGAAAAAAAGAACAGTAGGAAATCACTAGTTAATGGATTACATATTGTCATCTTAGAAATAATTGTTCAAGTCACAAAATTAAAGCTTGTAAAGTGGACATTCCATCAATGATACTGCAAACAGTTCTGTTCATTGATCCAATAAAACTCTGTGATATCATTTTCTATCTTATACACTTAAATATACATGCAGTTATATAGTTTGGAGCACTTTCTTTTCCTCTCTTTTGTACCATGACTATTACACATTTTGGGTTTCATTGCTCCCACGGTTCTTATTACTTTTTGGAAGAGAGTAAAACCAAATGTGACATAACAGAACAGAATCGGTCAAGTCAAAAGGGTGGACATAATAGATAATGTAAAAACATAATACAAGGTGATCAACAATGGTTACCATAATGCCTCCTGCTATCTCTAATAGAATTGCCTATATCGTTAGTTATAATACAATTGAACAAAACAGTAAAGAATAAAACCGACAAAACCAAAACATTGGAGACATTGTAGGTCTTTGATCATGACCATATTTTCTTTACTGTTCATCCGCGCTGGGTACTTGGGCAGTTTCCATTCGTTGGCTTCTGTGAGTGGTACAAGTGACTGGAGTTTTCTAGGATCTATCAGTTCCTGCTTTCATTCTTTCAGGTATAAACTTAGGGGTGCGATTAGGGTCATAAGGGTGAGTTTTAGTTTATGGTTTTTTAACCCCCACTCTGGTACTGGGGATTGAACCCATGGTCTTCACATGGAGCTACATCCCCAGGCATTGTGCCTTCTTATTGTGAGACAGGGTCTCAGGAAATTGGTGAGTCATCCAGATTAGGGCTGGACTCGCTTCGGCATGCCTAGCTACTCTGTTTACATTTTTTGAGAAGCTGCCACATGCTGTCTTTCACAGCAGCAGCAGCAGCAGCATCTTTTTCTGTTCTCACCCTCAGGCCCCTGGTTTCTCTCCATCCTTGCAAATGCTTGTTACTTTCTGCCTTTTCCCCCCATCCTAGCCATCCTAATGGGTTGAGGCTTCTCATCTTTATCCCAGGCCTTTGTCCCCTTCACAGTGGAACATAGGGACATCAAGGAAGTCACACAGGTGAGGATGAGCTTGGGTTGAAATAGGGAATGAGGGGCTTGAGGGAGCTGAGGGATGCAGGGAGGGATGGAAGTCCTTCACGGGGCCAAGCGTGCATCAGCGAGGGGAGGACCCAGCTGAGAACTGGCCAACGCAGACTCCATCTTCAAGGTGAGAGTCTTGTCAGTCAGGGCAGCAGTGGGGCATAGTCAATGCACGTGGTGTAGCCCTGGCCTAAGACTCATGCTGGACCCAAGGAGAGGGTGACAGAAACTTTGGAAGCCCATAAGGAGTCTCAACAGCCTTATGCCTCACCCGACTGTCCTCCAGGCCTGAGCCAACCCTGCTGGGTTGTCCTCTGTCAGAGAGCTACTCAGCACTAGACCCCAGACCATCTCTTCAGCCCACTGTCCCCTCCCACCAGTCCACCTGGAATATGAGTCAAGTCCTGGACCATGATACATGGGGTGACACCACCTACTCTCGAGGACCAGAGAGTGACTGTCAGCCTCTCCCCTGTCCTTTACTTCCCATTATCCCTGCTGATACGGCTGCTTGTTGGTCCACCTCATGCCTAGGCTCCGTTAGGTGGTCCTGGTCTGGCAATTTCCCTTCGGGGAAGGGACACTCAAGTCCCTATCCCAGCTCTGAGGTGGGGATGGATGCCAGGCTTGGCCAACCACGCCTCTAATGCCTCTGTGGCCAAGGGATTGGTTCAGGAATGGGCATGTGACTGGGCCAATCAAAGCCAAGACCTTGCCCAGGACGAGAGTTTCTGTTATTGTGGCTTCTGGTGCCACCTCTGCACTAGAGAGGACCTGCTCAGAGAGAAGCCAGAGGGGGAACGTAGAACTGAGGGGAGAGAGGCGGGTGGCTACAGTTTGAGAGCTCCGTCATCCAAACAAGCCTAGCAGAAAGCTACTCAAGGGCCCCAAGAGACAGACAGATGCCCATGGTGCATGAGAGAGCCCCAGGAGAGACTTACAGACATCACTAGTGTATGGGGTGCCCCAAGAAAGACAAATGCCCATAGTGTATGTGGAAGCCTGAGATAGACATCCCTGCTCTGAAGGACCATTCACTTCTGAGGTGCAGGCAGTAAACCAGGAAAGGCACAGGTATCAGATGTTAGATGGGCCCAGGGAGGGGCTGCTATTGATAGAGGGTGGCCGGCTGAGGTGGCATGGGGCAAAGGGAACCTTGGGAGGGGAGAGGGATGAGTGGAGACAGTTGTAACTTCCTCCCAGCACTCCCATGCTCTGGGAGGAGAGGGTGTGATTAGCTTTTTACGGAAGATTCATGGATTTGTATGTTTGATCTGAATGAAAAAAGAACTCTATCCACATTGGAACTCAGAGGCGATACGAGGAGGACATTTTTCTTTCAGTGATGTGCACGCTGTGGAATCTGACACGCTGCGTGGAGAACGCCATAACCCAAACAAATGAAAGAGCGGCCCCAGTGGTTTTGAGACTTGCTTATTGGATTTCTGCATGTGACTGGAGGCTAAGAAATGAGTAGGAGCAGCCACTAGGCTCCCTGAGGTGATGAGGAAGCCTGAGGAGATAAGTGTCTGCCTATAGGGCTCTCCGTGCTGGCAGCCACGTGGCTGGGGTCACTGTTTGGGCCATGGCTGTGGTGGGAGGAATGTGTCTCCCCTAAGAGTCATTTTAGAAGCCTAACCCAGTACCTGTGAATGCGACCTTATCTGAAGTCTTTACAGATGTGACTGAATTAAAATGAGGCCAGTAAGGTGGCCTTATTCTCATGACTGGTGTCCTTTTAAGAAGGGAAACCTTGGACACAGGCACAGAGCACAATGCTATGTGACAGCAGAGGCAGAGATCAGAGTTATGGAGTTTGAAGCCACAAGTGATGGAAGAATAAGGGAGACTTCTCCCCTATGGTCTTCAGAAGAGCACTGCCTGAGGACACTTTGATTTGTGTCCTCGGGAACCAACTGTAGGCGGTAGTCGCCGTCTGAAGCTCACACCTAACTTGTGCTGGGCATTTCTGTTGGCCAAATGGCTAGAAGGCCGAGAGGCCCATGCTTACCTCTCGGGATTGGGCAGGGCTGCCTCCTGGACCTGCTGCCCTGGCAGGGACTTGGCTTTGGGCAGGTTCAGTTCCAGGACGTAGTGCACCTGGGTGAGGAGGGCCAGAAGGAGCTGTGGAAAGGCCTCCTGGATGGCCTTCTTGAACTCCTGCATGAACTGCAGCACGTGCAGCATGTTCATAGCCTGTGAGGGGGGAGAAAGCGAGGCTTCTGTGCCTGGGCTCCTGGGCTGGAGGTGCCGAGTCAAAGCCAGGTCATGTCATTCTCACATTCTCTGCAGCATCCAGATGATGCCCCTCCCTGTGGTCAGCCTTGGCCTGTCCTGTCCATGAGCTCACTGGACTTGCTGCTCAGGTCACCTCTCTGCGCCTGTGACCTTTCTTCTCCACTGTCTGTTGGGTGACACCTGCCAGCACTCTCAGACCCTCTCACATGGCCCAGTGCCACTTTGCCGATCTCCCTGGACTCTGCCCCTAGTGAGTGCCATTAGTGACTGATAGTGTTGGCTTGGGCCCTGAGAGTGAAGTCCTGTGCTGTGAGGTGGCCACACACAACCGGGGTTTAACACAGTGGAGCTGGAGACAAATAGCTCTTGAAGGCAGAGCCTATGAGCGCAGTCCCAGGCCCTGAGGCCTGCCACGGATGAAGGGGCACTCGGCCCAGAATGCTCTGTCTGGGGGTGCAGTACTGAACGGAGATGGTGAAGGGTGAACTGAGAGGTGGGGGCATGTGGAATGCGGAGGTGGCTGCTTTGCTGGGACCTAGCCTGATGGATCTGACCCCACTCTACTGTGTGGTCTCCTGATGGATGCTGGTGGCATCAGCTAAGGCTGGGATAGACTGAGGAATAGGGCTGATGAGCACCAGGATCTCTCTCTTCCTGCCATGTGTGGTGGTCAGCAATCCCACGCAGGCAGTTGTTTGTCTGAGTGAAGAAGGAGAGTTGTCTGCTCTGGGGTGCTTCCCAGAGACTTTTGGGGCTACAGTTCTGCCTTGGTGACATCCTAACAGGATTGAAGGCACAGGCTTCTGCCTCACTGGAGTCCGCCATGGGGAACACAAAATACTGCCTTAGGATTTGAATGCCCTGCCCCTGGTGGTGCAGCTGGCCTGGGGCTTAGAGGCTTAGGGGCAAGCTGAAAGGAATTCCCACAGGAGGAGGGCACAACAGGAGGCAGCCTCTGAGATCTCCAGAATCCACTGCTCCCGGGAGTCTCACTATGGCTGGGTAGACTCTGGAGTGTCTCCATGCCCTTCCCCTCCAGCTGAATTCTGCCCCAGACCCTCTCTTTGTGAAGCCATCCTGCACAGTGAGTGCCAGACCAGGAAAAGTTCCCCTTTTCCACTTGCAGGGACAGTACTGTCCTGACTCACAGAGGCCTAGAACCCTGGGCTGGGAGGTGGGCAGCTGGGCCTTCAGCTGGGGTTGTGGGTCAGTCCCTGGCCAGGATGCCTGAAGCCCTTGGCCTCTTGGCCAGGCCTAGGTTGCCCTTTTGTGGGCTTGGAGTGGGGTTCTCCCTTCCCATAGCCTGGACACTGATTGAGGGCACCCAAGAAGCCAAGGTTGGAGGGACAGACTCACGGCCAACGAGCGCAGGTTGGTCTTCTTGGAGTGGGGGCTACCATCACCTGCTCTGGTGAACAGAGGACGCTCCTGCATCCAGGCCAGCAGCACAGCCAGCACCAGGCGGCTGGTGGAGTGCTCGGTGCCCAGGGCTTTCCAGAGGCATACGGCATGGCTGTGGGCAGAGATAGATCTTAAGGGCTTTGCTGTGACCAGAGCCTGGCTCTAGAGGCAATGCCCAGGGAGAGGCCCTGATCCTTGCACTGAGTTTTGCCATTGGTATGGTGACCTCTTGCCCAATTTGCAGGTGAAACATCAAGGCCCTGGAGGGGGCTGGCCCTGATTAAGATTTTGCCTGGGAAAAGGAGCCTGGCCTTGAAGGCAATCCTCTGGCTTTTCTACCTGGTCTCAGGGCAATGTCCTGTGAGGCTTGGGGAAGAGAAGTGACATTAGGGCTGCCCTAAGACATCAGCGACCATGTGACTTTCTATTTCCTGTCTTTGATGGTTTACAGGCCATCAAAGTGTTGGATGAAGGGGCTCCATGGTGTAGCATGGGGGGAGGGCCATAGCAGGGTGCAAAGAGAGCCCCAATCCACGCATTAAGACAGACTCAGTGCCTTGAAGGCCATCACAGTTCTAGCTGGCCCCTACAGGATGGGCACACCAGCTCATAGGATTCCAGGAGACAAAAAGTATGGTCACTGCCTGGAAGGAGAGGGACCTCTGATGTCAGAGGATCTGGGCTTGAGCTCTTGGTCCTCCCTTCACTGTCTGTGTGATGATGTACAAATCACTGAGCTCCTCTGGGCCTCAGTGTGTTCGCATGACTAGAGTGAGGGGGATACTTGCTAAGCCCGAGTGTCTGGGGAGGTGTATTTCTTATTCTGCCTTGTGGGTGCTCCTGTTCTTCAGTTTGGACATTTGTGTTAATTGGTATCTGGCCTGTGTGTCCCAGGGGACTGAGTCAGGGCAAAATCAGGCAAAGTTCCTGGCCTCTTGGGTGAAGATGGCAGGAGAGGACCACTTAGTGACCTAGGGACAGACAACCCAGTAGTGATTTATACAACATTAATCCTCTGGCAGCCGCATTAGTATGGGTGGGGCACTCTGGTGGGTGCTGCTGACTTCCTGGAGTGGGGTGGATGGTGATGCTGGGAAGGGTTCCCTAGGGGCTTTGAGGTGATGCTGGGAAGGAGTTAGGGTGACTTTAGAGCTGTACATGGCTAGGTAGGCTTGGGAACCATGGGAGGTGTGTGTTCTAGAGGATTGGGAGTGGTCTGGGAATGTACCTGTAGTGACAGTGTGGCCTGGAGGTGTCCTTGTGACAGAGGTGTGGCCTGCGGCTGTTGTGTGTGAAGCACTGTTGGACATTTACTAGTACATGGGCTGTGAGGGGTTTGGGCCAGATGTGAATACTGTGTGGTATCAGCACTTGGGGGAGCTTTAAAGCCCTGAATGGATGTGACCCCATGGAAACGAGTAGAACTGATGATGAGGTCTGAGAGTACCCTGCTGTCCCAGGGCTGAGAAACCAGGGAGGAGAGGGAGCCAGTAGAGGAAAGGGTGTAGGAACAGATAGGTGGTGTGAGGCAAGAGTCTGCACTTAGAGATCAGGAGAGAAGGCTCCCAGGACTAGAGAGTTGCTGGCTGATCCAGTTGACAGGTCACATGAAGGGGGCCAGGGACCAACCATTACACTTGGCAGTGTGAAGTTCCTTGTGATCTAAACAAGGACAGTTTCATTGCCATGGCAGTGGAGAGAGTCTGACCTGGGAATGTTTAAGGGGCACGGGAGGCCACAATTCAGCAACAAAAGGACAAATGAGCCAACTCATAAAGGAACAAAGGGCTAACACAGGGATTTTTCCAAAAAAGCAAATGGCTGAGAGGCACATGGAAAGGTGCTCACTACCGTCGTCATCTGGGAAGTGCAAGCTGAAACTACATGTCACTCACACCTCCTACGATGGCTACAGTCCAGGAAATGGCAAATAGCAAGTGCTAGTGATGCTGTGGAGAAGCTGAAATGCTTTGCTTCTGGCAGGGACAAAATGGGCCAGCAGCTGTGGAAAAGTATATCGCAGTCCCTCAGGAAGAACTTAGTGCTGTTATTCAGCCCAGAAATCTCATATTCAGGTTTGTGCCCAAAATTATTTTCGGGGCTTGAACATACACCTTGGTCCTTCAGTTTCTTAAGGGATTGGTTTCAGGACCTCTTTCAGATATCAAAATTCAAGGATGTTTAGGTTCCTTACATAAAATGGCACAGTACGTACACACAGATAACCTTCACACACCTTCCTGTGTGTGCATTTTACCCTGAGACTATGCAGAATACCACAGGACAGTGTCAGTACTATGCAAACAGTTGCCGCTTGATGTTTCAGAAGTAACAACAGGAAAAAATGTCCGTGAATATTTGGTGTCCAGTACTTTTGGAAAAATGTTTTGAATCCACTGGTGTGGAATGTGTAGGTCCACAAGACTGGTTTATGTGTACCCGCCAGTATTGATGGCAGCATTACAGTGACCCAAAGGTGGAAATAGCATAGGTGTCCACGAGCAGATGAACAGATAAAGTGTGCTATGTGCAAGTAAGAGAGTATTTTTCAGCCAGAAAGTGGAAACTCTGGTACATGCATTAGCATGGATGAACCTTGAAAGCAGTGCCAGGGGATAGAATCCAGGCCCTCAAAATAAAGCAGCATACGACTGCCCTGTGTGAACATCTATGCAAACTTGTGAAGACGGATAGTGGTTAGAGGCTCTCAGGGGTGGGGCTGGGATGGAGAGTTATGGACATGGGCCCAGTGTGTGTGCTACCAGCCCCACAGAGGGTGGCTGTTGGGAATTACTGTTTGGGGACTACTGTTTTCTCTTTAGAGTATTGAGAAAGTCTTGGAATTAGATAGTGCTGACAGTTGTGTGATACTGTAAATGTAACTTATGCTGTGGAATTGTGCCCTGAAGTGTAATTGAAATGGCAAACTTTTACCATAATTAAAAGACTTAAGTGGCTGGGGATGTAGTTCAGTGGCACAAGCACATGTCTGGCAAGTGCAAGGTCCTGAGTTTGAATCCCGATACAAAAAAAAAAAAAGATTTAATACGGTCATATGCCCAAAACATTAAATTGTATACTTAGAATGGGTGAATTATATAGAATGTAAATAATATCTTTTTTTTTCAGTACTAGAGATTGAACTCAGTGTACCACACACACCAGGTAAGTGTTTTACTAGTGAGCTACACCCACCTTGAGGACCTGTCTTAATGGACCCATTTTCAAAAGGACTGTGAGGACATTCGTCTTCCAGTAATGGTGTACTTAATCTCTCAAATAAGCACCTCATTTGAAAACAAATCAAAAGACTGGAGAAAATATAAACAAGGCATTAGAGATGACGAGACTATAAGAAGTACTTGGTCAGAGGCTCAAAGACCAATTACTCTAACAGAGAACCCTGCACCATTTGCAAGTAGCTGAGCTAGATATGGGGAAATCCAGGTGCATTTCAGCCAGGTTTCAATTGACTGGAGTCATCCAGGGAATCTCCAGTCTTGGATTTGACTGATGGTGATCTTAAATGGTCATGCTCTCAGGCACTCCCTGGAGGATTTGTGAGGAAAGTATCTGTATTATAAGCCTGGAATTATTCTTACAATTTTGTTTGAAAAATAATGTCTAGCATATAGTTAAAGATGAACAGACTAATGAAGAAGCCAACTCCATGGGTGACACATAGCAAGAACAATAAATAAAATAAATCTGACAAAGCTCAAATGTTAGAATGATCAGACATGGACTATAAGAGCATGCTTGAGAATTTCTTCATGAGATAGAAATCTATATATGGTAGATTAGCTGATTAGAAAAAAAAAGTTTGAAATTTTAGAAAAAATATCAAATCTAAAATTAAAAATTTAATGGAGGAGTTTAACATCAGAGTAGATATCACTGAAGGAGAACTAGTGACCAGTAGCAAAAAATTCCCCATTGATTCAGAAAAAAATGATTGTCTAAACAAAAGAGCAGCAAATTTACAGCTGACTTTTCAGCAGTAACAATGGAAGCTGGAAGACAATGAAATGACCACATGACCTTGTTACACTGAAGGAGAATACAGTAGCCCCTAATCCACAGGGCATCTGTCCCAAGACCCTCACTGGATGCTTGAAACCATAAACAGTACTCAACCTCAAATAGACTATATTTTTCCCTATGGGTACATATATTCTGTAAAATTCAATTTATAAATTAGACACAATATAAGATGAGCAACAGCAATAATAAAATAGAACAATTATAACTATACTCTAATTTGTAATATGGTCACTTTCTGAAAACATCTTACTGTAAGATGGTGTGAGAGGTACAGGGTACACAGTCCATGCACTCAAATGAACTAAGGTGAAGAATGTAGGTGTGATGTGGTATCAGACTGCTATATAAGGGTTACCCAACACAGTGCTGCTATAGTCCATCTGGTAACTGAGCTCACTACAGAGTGATTAACATACAGACAGCGTATGCAGTGTGAGTAAACTGGGAAGGGGCAGGTTTGTGTCCTGGCCATTCAGAACAGTGCCCAATTTAAAACATAATTGTTTACTTCTGGGATTTTTTCCATTTATTATTTTTGGACTGTGGTTGAATGTGCGTAACTGTTGCTGCAGGTGAGAGGGGACCACTGTAGTGGACAATGGGGTTTCTGTACTTTGTGAAATGTCTTTCAGAACTAAGGTGAGCTAAGGACACTTCAGACAGAAACTGAGAGCATTTGTTAAGGACAGATCCAAAGTGAAAGATATTTTAAAGGATGTGCTTCAGGCTGGAGGCAGATGGTCTTGGCTGAGAGGCTGGAGTTTCATAAGAGGGTGAGGAACAGAGAAAGTAGTAAAATGTGCACAAGTCTAAATGAATTTGACTTGTGAGATTTCAGATAGCACAGAATTAAAATAAGCAACACACACATTAAAAAGGGGAGTGTGTTCAGTCATTTGAGGACTTTGAAGATACTATTTTTGTCTGGAAAGAAAACAAAGAAAATAAATTTAATCCTGGACATATTGATAATTATATTACATGTAGATGGGTAAGTGCTCCAATCAAAGAGATTGTCTGGCTATAAGTGACCCAACTAAATGTTGTTTGCAAGGAGCAACTCTGAAG